TATATTTAAATATATATATATTTTTATATATATATATTTAAATATATATATATATTTGTCTATGTGTGAGCAGATCTACCTGTCCTCTTCATATCACATCCCATCTCCCATTTTAAAAGAGTCTATTAGCCAGAAAGCTATAAGCTCTAGGGGAATATTCTTATTTTCCTTTGTTGAAATTACAACTTTAGAGCAACAAATGAACTTCACTAAATCAGAAATGGGAAGGAAGAAAGTCAATATTGACCATGACTACAGCTTAATGTTTCCCCTGGGCAAGAAAATGTGGGTTGTGACTCATACCTTAGTGAATATTTTATATGATTATTATTTTGATCACAAAGACAAAAGCCCTGTTTTCATTTTTTCCAAGTTACTGAACTAATCAATAGGCATAATAAAAAAATATTCATGCTCCTCTGATCTCCAGAAATTCACTGAACCAGGAAAAAAAATCTACTTTAATTTAATTTGCTTTTAATTTTTTGGAAGGCTTTCAAAAACTTACCTAATGTCATCATCCGTGACTATAAAAGCTTTGCAGAGGGGTTGAGATGTATTCAGCCAGACAGCTGGGTTCTTCTCAACAGCTGCAGAGAGTTGTCCCGTGATAGGTGCAGAACTGGTGTGCAAAGCACTAGCAACAGCTGATAACAGGGTGTCGTCGTTGTTACCTGGGCCCACTCCTAAAACAAAGATAATTCAAGAATTATCATTTGTGTTTCAGATGTAACTGCCAGTGACAGAGTTCTCCTCAGGTTGTTAGGGTATTGTGCTGGTTTGAACTGGGCCAGAGCTGGGCTCAGTTCAGCAGCTGGAACAGCGCTGGGGTTTGGGTTCAGCTGGGATTTGGTAGCAGAAGAACGTTGATCACACACCGATGTTTGCAGTTCTCACTGGAAGTTGAAGGACTTTGTGTTTTGCTGATCTGGAATATTGAGGAATATTGACCTGACTCAGCTCCATGGGCATTGGGCTCTGCCAAGGGGCTGTTCCATCTCCTGTCCCCCATGGGCAGGAGATCCATGAGGGGCTCTTCCTCTCTTGCTCTCTCTGGCTTTGGCTCGGGCTCTGGCTCTCCCGGGATTGCGGTTTCGGGTCGGGATTGTGGCTCCTGCGGGATCGTGATCTGGGAACGGGCCGGGCTTGGTGGGCGGGTGGTGAGCAATGGCACTGGGTGTCACTCATTTGCATATTTTATTACTATTACTACTATCATTATTATTTTAATATCATTATTATTTTAAGTTTTATTTCATTTCCATGATTAAATGGTTCTTCTCTCCCCCTACGAGTCTCCTTCCCCTCACCCCCCAATTCTCTCCCCTGAGAGGGAGCGAGCGAGCAAGTGGCTGGGTTTGGCTGCCAGCTCAGTGCAACCACCACAGTTAATTACACTGATGATTTAATTGCCACCGGATATATGCTGCTATAATCTAAACAATTAAATGTGAGTTCTTCAAAATGGCTTTGTAACAGCACAGTCCTCACTGAAGTGTAAGTTTGCATTTCAAAAAGCATCTCATTTCTAAAATGGGCCAGGTTTTTTGCTTCAACTAGCAACTACAATATCAAATTTCTTCATAAAGATGATCACATCATAAATTTATCAATATATTGAATATTGAAATCATTTCTTTGCAACTTCATGGTATTAATGTAAACTGGAAACTTGTTAAAAGCGGCAAAAAATTCCTCTCTAAGCACAAAGAATTTGGTGGATCTGAAGCAACTGCAGGGAGGGAACAGAATACCTTGAAGACCTTTAGGCAGCTCCATGGATTTGATGATTTGTTCACTGACATCCGATGCGCTGAGACCTTGTAACCTCTTCTCCCAGAAAAGCTGCAAAAAGAGAAATAATATTAGAAATAATTTTTAAAATAAAAATTAAATCAAAAGCAGCTCATGGAAATAAAGAGCATTTATGATCAGAACAATAAAGGAAGGAAGATTGTAATGACAGCTAATTAAAAAGTTGATTTCCAAAGTGTAGGATCCAGCACTTGGCCTTGTTGAACCTCAGACAGTTGGTCCTGGCCCATGGATCCAGCCTGGCCATATCCCTCTGCAGAGCCTCC